GCTCCTAGTAGCGATTCACCTTGCTACTAGTAGCTTCTTGTTACTAGTAGTAATGCCAGGAGCTACTAGTAGCTTGCTGCTCCTAGTCGCGATGCACCTTCCTACTAGTAGCCTATTGTTGCTAGTAACTAGTAGTAATGCCAGGAGCTACTAGTCCCGTGGTAGCTTCCTGCTCCTAGTAGTGATGCACCTTGCTAGTAGTAGCTTCTTGTAACTAGTAGTACTGTCAGGAGCTACTAGTCCCGTGGTAGCTTCTTGCTCCTAGTAGTAATGCACTTTGCTACTAGTAGCTTCTTGTTGCTAGTAGTAATGCCAGGAGCTACTAGTCCCATGGTCCTTCTTGTTCCTAGTAGCGATGCACCTTGCTACTAGTAGCTTCTTCTTCTTACTAGTAGTAATGGAGCTACTAGTAGCTTTTTGCTCCATGTAGCAATGAACCTTGCTACTTGTAGCTTCTTGTTACTAGAAGTAATGTCAGGAGCTACTAGTCCCGTGGTAGCTTCTTGCTCCTCACCTTGCTACTAGTAGCTTCTTGTTACTAGTAGTATTGCCAGGAGCTACTAGCCCCGTGCTAGCTTCTTGCTCCTAGTAGCGATGCACCTTGCTACTAGTAGCTTGTTGTTACTAGTAGTAATGCCAGGAGCTACTAGTAGCTTGCTGCTCCTAGTAGCGATGCACTACTAGTAGCTTCTTGTTACTAGAAGTAATGTCAGGAGCTACTAGTAGCTTCTTGCTCCTAGTAGCGATGCACCTTGCAACTAGTAGCTTCTTGTTGCTAGTAGTACTGTCAGGAGCTACTAGACCCGTGGTAGCTTCTTGCTCCTAGTAGCGATGCACCTTGCTACTAGTAGCTTCTTGTTGCTAGAAGTAATGCCAGGAGCTACTAGTCCCGTGGTAGCTTCTTGCTCCTAGTACTAGAGCCATGGTAGCTTCTTTCTCCTAGTAGCGATGCACCTTGCTGCTAGTATCTGTTTGTTACTAATATTTTATATTTTTCCCGGTCATATTCCGGTTCATCCATCTTTTTGTCTTTCATGCATATTTTGCTCCTCACTCTTCTCCACTGTAGTTTTCTTGCCAGCGGTTCCTTTAAGTCCTCTCACGTTTCATTTTGAGTGTTTGCTTCATCGAAAACAGTTACAGGGCGGGATACATCATAACACAGCTAGGGCTATGGCTGTTGTGAACACTGGACGCCAGGCCATGATGGGTCACATGCATGCTGCTCGCACGAGCCTGCACTGCGATTCTGGAAGAGCTTGCTGGTGGACTCGGCGCAGACCTCTACAGCTCAGTTTTTGTGGATCTTTCATGTTTGTTATTTGTCTTGTTCTATTCTTTTCTTTAGACACTGAATCTTTGCTGTCCTGTCTCTTTCTTTGTTCACTTCTGTTGAAATGACGATCTCAAAGGACTTCTGCTGAATTAGCTCCGCCTGGAAGAGCAACGAGTGAGAGTCGGAAAGCTAGAAGCTGTTGCTGATGACAATTGTCGTGGCCCAATGGCGTCAAACGTCGACAAGTGCAAGGACCTTACCCAAAATGTGAGGAGTGTTCACTTTCTGAATGCAACCTCGAATCCCAGCTAGTAAAGTGGAAAGGAATATATTATAACTATAAGTGTTCGCATTACTCCTACTCCTACTACTTCTATCTACTTCTTCTTCCTCTGCTGCTACTCCTACTACTGCTGCCTAATGCTACTACTACCAATTCCCAAATAGTTTGGGCGTTAACTCTATTCATTCTCCCTCGGTTGTTTGCTAGGGGTTTACCATTCAAATTCAGACATTGCTGGCTGGTTATGTCGACATGCAAACTTGAGGGCCGTGCGCGTCATTCTCTCGTGGCTTCTCCCGAGACTCCTTTCGTGCGAAGCTGTTGGAGACTGAACGGTTGGAAAAGGATATGACATAAACATGTAAAGGACCCCTTAATAAGGTGCGAGAGCCAAAAAGGGCCCTTGCCTTCTTTTATTCATCACCTTGCTCAATAGACTAATTATGTGTAATGATTACATATTATTATGCTTAAACCATGCTTGACCATCTGGGAACTGCACACCATCAGGATGACTTGAGGCCTCAAGACCAGCTTCACGAGATAGAATGTCCAAGCCAAAAACGGCGCAACGCTTTAGCCGTTGTTGAAAATGAATAAGCTAAATCGCTTCCCGGTTGCTCCAAGATCTCTAAGGAACACATATATTGCAGTTTTAGGGAGACCCTGCCTGACTCCTTGAAGCCTGTGGCGCAAAGAAGCCTGACACAGGAGGGGTGACTGATGCCGAGACTTCTCTACCCAGTGGATGCATGTCTGGGGTATGTTACCACAACTCTGTGGACACCTAGCTGCATTTATCTAAAGAATTCTAAGGAAAGTGTTCGAATCCTACAACTGTAGAGTCTAAGCCAATTAGCCAACTTCATCAAGAAAGTTGGTACTCACCAAAACAAGGATGATGTCAATATGTTTGACAAACAACCACTGGACCAATTCTGGCTTGAACTTCTGCCTGCAACAAAATCGCCCTGGGGTGCACCAATGAAGCTTAGGTCCTGAGAAACTCTGGCACGAAGATTTTGATGGGAAACTCTATTCTTTCACTATGTATAACCACTGCCTGAGCAGGTTTATTTCACGCTGAAGGCCCAACACTGGCGGCTTCCAATTGTGCAATGTGTGCAGCTGCCGATGCAAAGAGCATGGCCTCTGGGCTGATAGTGAATTCAGAATTCTCACAGAGAAGAAGTCTTATACTGAAGCTTATTGCGCCCTTGGTTCAAACACGTAAGTCTTACATCTTTTAGTAACGGTAAGGGTAGTGAGGTCCTTTCCTACAGTGAGCCTAGTAGCAGCCCACCATCCTCAAGGCTCGAGTTGTGCAGTTCAGACTAAAACATGGTGCCTTCACGCATAGCGCCACTCCCATGGCGACGATGTCAAACCTTGAATTAGTTCCCTGGCCACAGCAATGTTTCTTGAGTCTGAGGCTGGAGCAAGAAGGAATCCATGAGCAGAGAAAAAAGAAGTACCTGGCTGGGAGGTGTGGGCATGGCTTGCGCATGCCAGCTCTAACTTACAGTCATTGTCAGATGCCACTTAATCAGTGGAGCACGAGCAATGCAAAGACCGCATTCCACATGCTAAAGAGTTCCAGGTCCGCAAAAAGTCTTCCAAGATCAGGATCCTCCACCAATCAAATTGCATCTGGGGTGTCCAGTGATGCTGCTGTGACCCAAGACGAGTCCATGCTAATCCCTGATCACCTTTCGGTTTGTCATGTGCTAGTGGTGCTGCCCCTGCAAAGTGCCAGCTACAATTAATTATCGAACCCACACGTTGTCTTTGCACATCAAGAACGATCAAGAATGGTGGGCCCTGCATTCAAGCAGAAATGGTCCTCACAACTGTCTGTCCTCCAAAATCAGAAAAAGCAATCCGAATACCAGCCTGGCATCTTTCGCAAGGAAACAGGCAGATCATCTTCGCTGGTTGCTTCGTGCAACTTTATGCTATCAAGGAACCCCAATGGCTGTGCCAATGGTGGTAGAAGGATCCAAACCTCATGAGCTTGAACAATGACTTGCAGGGCCTATCAGGCCTATCATCGACGGTTTACGAACTGATAAGTGCCAGACTGTCCCTGCTGCGGTGCTTGTTTTGAACAGAATCCTGCATGTCGAAGGATAAAATCGAACTGTTCACTGCTTGGCTCGGCACATCTTGGCAGTCCAGAAAATGAGACTGAACACCATGAGGTCAAAGGCCAAAAGGCAAGTCAAAGACCTCGGCAAGGAGCATACCAGCCTTTCTGAAGGTATATGTGTGGAGACAGTGGCATCAACGAATCAGCAACAAGTTGAACCAAGGAACACAAGCGTCCTTGCAGTTGCGCCCTCTGAACCTCGCAGGGTTGTCACAACATGTCACAACTACGCATGCATGTACTCCATTGCTGGTCGGATCCTAGGCAAGCGGCCTTTGCTCCATTTCAATAGCATCCTGGGAAGTCAGTACTCACTTCTGCAATCAGAGAGGGGAGTTCCTGTTCCAGTTCCAGTTCCAGTTCCACATCGTCCAAGACGGGAGACTGGGGAGGG